GCTTGGTCTTGGAGCATAGTTTTTTTTGTTGATTTCTCTAGACATTTCACAGATCAGGAATGAGATATAATTGTGACATGTTTTAGTTATGTGTTTGGTGCTTGAAAGCACATCTGCACCAAACATTACTTTGTTCCTCCAGGGCAGAAACTCACTGACATATGGTAATGTTTCAACTCTTTTGAGAATGAACAATTCATTGTTTTGTTGTTAGGTCTATGGTTTTAACTCTGTTACTGTTGAAATTTCATCGATATGTTCCTATTTAGATGGAATCTGAAATCAGTGATGTCACTTGGGGTTTTGCAAAGCTTGTGTGCAAAATATTTTAACCATAAACCACCACGACTGTAGGATTTGGTTGCACCAAAGCTTGTAGCCTCTAGGGTGATGAAAGGCTAAACTGTTAGGTTCTCAGCAAGTTCTCATCTGAAGTTTGATGAACCGTGCTCTGAATAAAATAATGTGTAAATGATTTGATGTTATGTTTTTTTGCACACACAATGTTAGCACTCATATCCACACTAATTTTGTTTGTTGGCCTGTGATTGGGTAGCTATTGTTGAAAATAGTATCAAAATTCATTTTACCCCAAGGAGTCACAATGAAGTTCTAACTGGTGCCCCACACATTTTTATTGAAAGCACGGTTGCAAGACTTTAACTTTTCACATAAAACTGAACTGACATGACAGTCAAATAAATTGTTTGCTCTCTAACCCAGCGTTAAACAGAGCTTAAAGTATTGGGTAATAGGTTGTCTTCTGTGTTCTTGCTAAAAAGGAATTGTGGAGGAATGATGAAACTTCCACTCTTCAGGACCTCCTTGATTATTTTTTGACCTTGTGGCTGTACTTGGAACTGTTGGTTTTCAGTGTCTGAAACTTTTGTTTCTCAGGAATTGAAGCTGAATAAATAATATAGTTGAGTTTGGTGCATTGCCATATTAGGACCCTGGACAGTCTAAGATGTTACCAGATTTCTGACTATCATAATTCTGTATTTGATCTTAATAGACGTCATTTCTGTTGCTGTTTATAATTTTAAATTTAATTTTAAAATACTTTTTCAACAATGATAACATTGTTTCCTTTGGTTAGTAGACATTGCCGTTTTAAGAAAGATAGGACGGAACATGTGCAGGAGTGCGTTCATATTGACAGAATTACAAAAAAACAAAAGTTTAGAAATTGCTCATCTGAAGATAACAGAATCATCTCTCTAATTTACATAGCAGTTGTTGTCACAGAGGTAGTAGATGGGAGGAATGTTTGCTGTATATCTTTAGCAGTGAAGCAAAAACATTAGTCATCTATCTGTTCTGCTTCCTTTGTAGATTCCTATTGCTGTCCAGGGCACAGATGTTCTTGCTATCAACTTATCTTATCTTTTGTAAACTACTGTTATGATAAAGATTCACTTCATGGGTAATATGTTTTATCTGCTGAGGGTGTCCCTGCGGCCGATTATATCCTGCTAATCAGAGCAGTGATTGTGAGGTGTTAACTGATTAGTTCTTGTAAGATAGAAATGTAGTTGGAGGGGTCTTTCTTTGTCAGTGTGTGAGTTTTACCTGACTTGGGCTTCTCTTAAAGTAGATCAGGTTGCACATGTATGCGTTCAGGATATGCACTAAGTTATTGAATTGAAATTTTAATGTTTAAATATGTGCCAGCTGTAGTGTTTTTAAGGATGGTATTCAAGCTTCGGATGTGATTTAATAATAGTAGAAAAGCAGTAAAATTGGCATGTAGCATGGGATGGTTTTATTAATGAAATAAATTTTGATTCCATGGGGTAGGCATGGCCAGGTAATGTTCCAGGGACCCGGGTTTGAATCCCTCCATGGCAGATGATGGAATTTGAATTCAATAAAAATCTGGAATTAAATGTCTATGGATGACCTTGAAACCATTATAGATTTGTCGGAAAATTCCATCTGGTTCGCTAAGGTCCTTGAGGGAAGGAAACGGCCATCCATTCCTGCAGCAATGTGGTTGACTCCCAGTTAGGGATGGCAATAACTCTGGCCTAGACAGCAGTGCTGTCATACCATGAATGAATAACAAAAAGACTCCAAAGTGATGATCGTGTCCATGACAGGGAAACTTCAGGAATAGGAAGAGTGTCTCAGGAAGCCATGTTAAAAAATGAATGTGCTGTGTTAGTGATTTGTTCCAGAATCTCAGGAGGAGACATAGAATCTTTACAGTCCAGATAGAGGCCATTCGGCCCATCAAGTCTACACCAATCCTTCAATGAACATCCCTCCAAAACCCAGCCCTCCACCCTGTCCTTGTAACTTCGTATTAACCATGGCTAATCCACCTGGCTTGCACATCCCTGCTTACTAGGGAACAATTTAGCATGGTGAATCCACCTAATTCGTTGACTACATATCAGAAAGAATGCGGAGGTTTGCTAGGAAGAAACCAGATACGGCTGTGCCAGAAGAACAAGGAAGTTTAAAGTGAATATGGTGACCCATCACTGAGATTTGAGAATCTGTAATGTTGTTGAAGATTAGAGGGTTAAAACTATTTTTTGTGAACATGTCTAGTGAATTAGCACTATTGAAGAAATAAATTGCAAAAATACAACTTATGGTCTATCACACTGGAATCTGACTTTACCAGTCTTACTATTTACTGCGATCATAATAATGTCCTTTATTTACTGTAGTCGGTAGGTGGTTAGCCAGAGACTTAAGATACTTATTTTGTTTTTAATAAAGCCAGGATAATTGAAGATTTTATGCAGCATATTGTTGTGAACTGGAATGCAATATCTGAAGGTGAGGTGGAAGTAAATGTAAAACTTTAAAACTTCAGTTTACTTGAAAAGAAAATATCTGTAGGACTTTGAGAAAAGAATTGGGGAGTAGACGAATCAGCACAGAATGAATTGATGTTCTGAACAGCTCAGTTCTGTGCTGTAAGATTTTTATGCTTGGGTTCATAAGATAACATAACTTGCATTTTAATATAGTAAAATATTCCTTCCTCACAGGAGGACCATTAAACAAAAATTCACAAATAGCAGTGAGATGAATAAGTATGTTTTGATGGTAGCATTTGGAAAGAACATTGAAGGCACTGATAACTCTCTGCCCTTATTAAGTAACTGAGGGCATTTTTATTTGTGCTTAAGCCAAATTGTTTCCTTCAAGGGGTGGCATCTCCACTAATTTGGCTGTACGTTAGTATAAGACTAGAGGAGTAGCCTAAAAGATATGCTGAAATCCCAAAATGGGACGTTAGGCCAAAGCCTTATGACTCCGTTGCAAATTTTATCAATGCATCAGGCTGATGATTAGTTCGGGGAAGTGTTAAGTGTTAAACCAAGTGCTGTGGAATATAACAACCTTATGATACAATTTGAAGAAAAGCAGATACTTTCTGACATGGGAAGTATTTGTTCCTCAGCCAACATCACAATCGCACAGCACATTATTACAATGCTATTTGTGGATCTTGCTATGTGTAAATTCATTGTTGTGTTTCCTGTTTTACGCCAGTGACCACATTTTAAGAAGTATCTCACTCCTTAGATGTACTGAAGTCTTGAGAGATGTTGTTGTCCAGTCAGTTAGTTGGTAAAGACCATAAGACATAGGAGCAGAAATTAGGCCATTCAGCCCATTGAGTCTGCTCCACCATTCAATCATGGCTAATAAGTTTCTTGACCTCATTCTCCAGCTTTCAGTAACTCTTGATCCCCTTGACAATCAAGAACCTATCTATCACTGTCTTAAATATACTCAATGACCTGGTTTCCACAGCCTTCTGAGGCAGTGAGTTTCATAGATTCACCGTTCTCTGGCCGAAGAAGTTTCTCCTTATCTCCATTCTAAAAGGTCTTCCCTTTACTCTAAAGCTGTGCCCTCTGCTCCTAGAGTCTCCTACCAATGGAAACATCTTCCCACCATCCACTCTGTCCAAGCCATTCAGTATTCTGTACGTTTCAATGAGATACCCCCTCATCCTTCTAAACTCCGTTGAGTATAGATCCAAGGATAATACTGGAACCAGTCTTAGTCATATTTATTTACATTGTGAAATATTACATACATTACCTCCTATTTGAGCTACTCATTTTACGTTGATGTCATTTTCAGTTTTTATTGCATTTAAGTGATGGTTAGTCCTGCAGTCACTTGGATAAAACCAGAACATTCAGAAGCATAATTGGCAACATTTAAACCTACGTCGGAGATCCTAATGAATTTCAAATCCATCACTTTAACTGCTCAGCCAAATATGATTTTGAGCAAATAATAATCAAATTAACTCATTGACACACCTTTTAAATGGGAACTGTCACAAAATGTGAACCAAATGAATCTTATCAAGTTGTCATTTCCAGGGCTGCTGATGCTCTCTCGTCCCTCAAGTACCTATTGATGGCTGAAGGCCTTGGCATATGGCGAACATCATGTGCTTTCTTTCCCAAGGGCAACATGGTGTGGATGTATCCACAGAACAAGGGAGGGTTTTGGAGTGGGTCAAATGACTCCCACTCCCAACTGCCTGTTGCCTGAAACTGTTGATGGCCATCTTATTAGGCCCAAGATCAGATACATGCTTAAGTAAGACCCCATTTAATGCTTGCACCTCTGTTTCTAATTCGCCACAATTGACACAGTTATTAGAAGGTGTTTTATAAATGGAAAGTCCTTACCCTTTCCCTTCAATTTCAGTTACCTCCTGCTGTAATCCCCCAAACCCAGCCATTCAGACCATTCACTGATTGTAACTGAAAAGTTGAGAGATTTTTGTACGCTGTACATTCCTAAATGATGTTTTCACTTATTAGGTGTATGAGAAGTCTGAGAAATGTTTCTTTGGAGGAGAGCTGCCTAATGTTCAATGCCTTCTTGCAACTGACAATATGAGAATTTCTAGGGGTGGTTGGTTAAATAGAGCTGACGTACCACCAATCTTCATGGTGTTGTGTATTGCCAACTATCACCTATCTGATTTTAATTATTTTTGCTGACAGAATTTGATGGGCTTAAGCTTTTCGCCATGTATGTGAAGAAATGGAAGTGTCTGGAACAGGACTGAAAATACACGTGGGCTTTGGGCGAATTCGGCTCCGAAAGCCACCAGAACGCCTGGAAAAATTCAATCATGGGGGCGACCAATCAGAGAAAAGTCACCCCCGTAAGTAGAATGGACAGAATCGATGAGGAAATGCTCCTTTAGTCATGGGCTGATTCTTGCCCTTGCTTGCTGGTGATAGGCTCATAAGTGAACCTATTTTCAGCAAATGTGGGAGGGAAGCTGCTTTGACTGGAGGAGCAGCCAGCAGTTAGGAAAGTAAGTGATGGCAGTAACTGGGCAAACAGATCCTGTGCTTTTGCGAGGTAGAAGTGCTTGTCAGTGATTTTGAAAATGTTGTTAATTCATCCTTATTACCTCAGTGATTTTGAAAATGTTGTTAATTCATCCTTATTGCCTTATGCTAATTTAATAACTGTGTTTAGGAAATTAATGCTTTCCTCACATGTTGTGGCTTTAAGTTTACTGGAGGTTTGATAATCACAAAAGTGTTAACGGCGCACATGATGGCTACTTAACCTGTTGTGCCCACATCGACTTATTAAATGAACTACCTGATGCCAGTCTCCTGCTTTCTCCCCTTACCCTTGCAAATTACCCATGCCTTCGCACAGTATTGAGGATATTCATGAGTTGTTCTAATTCTGCTTCTGTACGAGTCCAAATATCTCATACTGTATATCAGTGCAACTACAGAAAGTATTGGAACCACATTGCTGCATCAAGTAAATGAGTGAGCATGAAAATGGAACTCTTGAAACCAAGAATTAGCCCTTGAGAAAATCTGATGAAACATCTTCTTTTAGTGGAGCGTAGCATTTTGTGCCCTGGATATGGAATTGCATGGCTTATCTTGAAGTATTTTGTCACATGGGTAGTAAAACAACAAATAAGGCTTTGAGGTCTGGAGATTTGGTGAATTAGTGCTAAGTGGTTTACAAATTCTCCTAAAAGTTGTATATTATTGGCATCGACTACTACTAATTCCCTTTTATTGGATCAAAGTTTTGATTCATTTCTGATTTAGAATGTTTACTTCAACCAAGAATGAATGGTTCCTAACCCAGAGAACTGCAGAAAAGTGGACTTTTGCTCCACCACACATTTTACAAAAGGTGCAACAAAATGATTTAAGAATATAAGGAACGAATGCAGGAGAAGGCCATTTGTCCCCTGAGCCCGCTTTGCCAGTCAACTGGATCATGGCTGATCATCTACTTCAACATAATTTTCCCATTCTGTTCTTGTATCTGTTGTCTTTAATATCTAGAAATCTATTAATCTTGGAAAAACTCAATGAATAATCCACCACAGCCTCTAGGATTGTGGATTCCAAGGATTTACCACCCTCCAAGTCCATGTTTTGTCCTTGCTTCCACTGTATTAGGACCTGTTTTGTCTGTCTTTAGGTGGTCCTCCCTCCCATTCTGACTGTCTCTGGGTCCTCTTCTTTCCCATTCTTTATTAGCGCTGTAAACAATGAACAAAAAAATGCTCCATTTTAGCAATTTTTTAAGTACATTAAGCTGTATGGTCACTTATTAAGCATTAAGTATCATTTGATTTGATACAACCTGAACTTGGTTGCCAGGATAACTTTGATTGCCAGGATTAAGAAGCTAATATGCTCAGTCCTAATGCAAGATTATCGGATGGGTTTTAAGAGAAACACAGTGAATCGTTGACAGCATCCTTGTAGTTTGGAGATGAGAGTATTTTTAGTACTTTAACATAAATTTTTAAACAACAGTGTATATCTTTTGAAAAGTTAACATGAGTAACCTGTAACTATGTAGCACTAATTCAAATAATTGATTCTGTTCTAGGTTTCATCATCCTCTCCAAGCACTCGCTCAGTATAAAACAGATTCTGTGAAACTGTTTCCAATCCGTAGGTGAGCTTAAAATCCTTTATCCCTCCCATCTGTTACCAAGACCTCCACAACATTGCTTTTTTCAACTCATCAACCCTTTGTGTCTCCAGAAATGTCCATGCTTTGATAACTTCTATGCTTAAGTTAATCAAAGTGCTTCTTACTTTGGTAGATATTCTTTTCTCGGTGGTCTTATACAATCTTTGATTCCCCATTGTAAATACATTTCTGCATTGGTACAGTTTCTAACTTAGACCACTTATGCAATCCTCCATCTCCTCATCACATCAATAGTGGGAACATCTTTGGCCTCCTTCATGTCATGGAACTTTCTGCAGAAACCAGACATTTTGACTGATACATGAATAGTCAGGGAACAGAGGGATACAGACTGCGTAGAGGGAAAAGGTTTTAGTTTAGAAAGGTGTCATGTGTCGGTACAGGCTGGGTGCGCTGAAGGGCCCATTCCTGTGCTGTACTGCTCTTTGTTCATTAAACCAGTCTGCCCTGCTCTTCTCTCCTTGAGAAACTTTCACAAAAATAACTTCCTTTCCAAGCTTTTCTTGGAAACCTTCTGGATCTTCCACTACATACTTCAGCATCCTTTTCTTTGATCTTTATTAAGAGTTTGAGATGATTTTGATATTAATTACATATTCATATTCCTATGATATTGTTCATTGGGGTTAAAAACAAAGGATTTCAGAAAATCCTTGTTGCTTAAATTTGGGACTTGGAACTAGAATTCATTTCTCTTCAACTTTTTCTTTTTTGTCCTAAGGATGATGACTTTATATCCAAAAAAGTTAAATTCTGCATGTCACCATCTTGGTACCTTGTCCAAGAGACTTTGTTTGTTTTTGTCTGCAAGCTTAGGTGGTGGTTGTTGGTAAGCTATTCGGTTATAGGGACACAGTAGTTGAATGTGATCCTGTCACTACTTTATCCCTATGCACGTATGTATTTTCTAATATAAGTCATTGGATTATGGAAAGGAGCTCAATTTCTGGCTGATTATTGGCTAGGAAAGTCACTCCTAGTTTGCTAAGGTCATTTGTATGCTTAATGTCAGTCATGTTGAAATCATCTAACTCTGCACAGATCTGTAGTTGAATCTGAGACCTTTTATTGTACGGCCCAGTTGAGGGCTTTATGTACCAAATAGTCACTGGGGATTTCTAAAAGACAACATTTTGGCCTCTGTTATTTTTGAGCTGAAAGTGATGGGGTTTAAAGTTCCACCACAGTTACAAAGGAGCTATCTTAAAGAAGATGAAGCTTCCTGTAATGCTATGGGTAAATAAATATATAAATTCATGAGCAATTTGAGGGCAGGACTTTAACTCCGGTGTTGGAACTTTGATACACATTCAGTGTCTCTTCACCTCTCCCTTTATGACAAAGCTGTTTATCAGGTTATCTTTGTAACCATGTTGTGAGAGTAAAATTTGAAAATAACTTAACTTGTAACTCAATTTCTTTGACAATCCGTTAGTAACTAATCAACAAGGGTGGTAAATTATTGATTTGACAAAGTAGTTTATTTCATTCCATGCTGCTACTATACAGCACAAGCAATGTTTTACACTAACATGTTGTGTCTGTTACGCCAGAACGATGCTCTGCATACCATGCAAACGAGTAATGTGGTGTATGAACTTCAATACTGGTGTATGCCATGTACATAGGCCTTGTATCCAAACGACTGGTGAATTATATCAAACAGCCATCCCTTTGGGTAGATTTATAATGTGTAGATCACTGACTGTGCTCGAGCAGATTGTGTTTTCAAAACTCTGAAAAATATCTAATGCTGGATGTCATTCCACGAGTGGACATTATTTGCTGAACAATTCTGAGTGCTAAGAATGACAGTTTAAGATTATCAGTTGTGTTTGCAATATGGCTCGCTTACACATGTGAGAAGCTATTTATGTTCAAATGTAAGCACCTATCTTTTTTGAATTAAGCAAAAGCATGGGACGCTATAGTTACTGGGTATATTTTCTGTGGCAAAATTGCCCATAGTGTCCAGAGATGTGTAGGTTAGGTGGAGTAACCATGGGAAATGAAGGGTTACAGGGATGGGGTTTGGTCTGGGTGGGATGCTCTTTGGAGAGTCGGTGTGGACTCGTTGGGCCGAATGGCGTGTTTCTCCATTGTAGGGATTCTATTCTAAAGCAGGACAACACCTCTACCAATTAGTGTTGACCTAACTTAATCAGGATAATTGTCTGATGTGGGATAAATTGTTACTTGCTTTAAAACTTGGTGCTGTTGCATATGCCTTGATGAACGCAAGGCAAAAAACTTTGACAGCATGTCTCTTCTTTTTCCAGTGCTACTAAAGTAGCTTCTCTAATTTGTGTGAGCCTAAATCAACGTGGTTCTCAGACCTGGTGTCTTGTTTGATTCTGAACTGAGCTTCCAACCTGATTTTCTGCATTGCTAACACCATCACCTTCCACTTACATAACATGTGACACTACCCCAATTCAGCTTGTCTATCGAAACCCACATATCTGTGCTTTTGTTAGTTCTAAACTTGACTATTTCAAAGCTGCCATGGATAGGCTCCTATCTTCCACTTCCATAAACTTGAACTCATGCAAAACTCTGCTGCTGACATCCTAAATCACGTCAAATCCTGATAGAACCCAACACCTTTCCCATCTTTGTAATCTCCCCTAAGATTTCAATAGACATTTCTTGTCCAATTATAGAGTCATACAGCGCGGAAACAGACCCTTCGGTCTAATCAGTCTTTGCCAAACGTAACCCCAAATGAAACTAGTCCCACCTGCCTGATCCTGTCCATATCCCTCCAAACCTTTCCTATCATATATCCATCCAAATGTCTTTTAAACGCCGTAATTGTACCTGCACCCACCACTTCATCAGGAAGTTCATTCCACACGTGAATCACCCTCTGTATAAAAAATTTGCTCCTCATCTTTTTTAAATCTCTCTCTTCTCACTTTAAAAATGTGCCCCCTAGTCTTGAAATGCCCCATCTTAGGGAAAAGACAACTACCATTAACTCTATCTATACCTCTCAGTATTTTATAAATTTCTATCAGGCCACCTCTCAACCTCCTACGCTCCAGTGGAAAAAATCTTAGCCTATCCAGCCATTTCTTATAACTCAGACCTTCCATACTTGGCAATCCTGGTAATTCTCTTCCGAACCCCCTCTAGCTTGATAATGTCTTTCCTATTACTGGGTGACCAGAACCGGACACTGTATTCCAGAAGAGGCCTGACCAATGTTCTGTACAACCTCAACATAACATCCCAACTCCTATACTCAAAGGAGTGAGCGATGAAGGCAAGCGTGCCAAATGCCTTTTTAACCATCCTGTCTATATGTGATGCTAACTTTAAAGAACTGTGTACCTGCACCCCTAGGTCCCTCTGTTCTACAACACTACCCAGGGCCCTACTATTAATTGTATAAGCCCTACTCTCGTTTGTTGTACCAAAATGCAATACCTCGTGTTTATTCAGATTGAACTCCACCTGTCATTTTTCAGCCCATTGACCCATTTGATCAAGATCCCTTTGTAATCTTAGAAAACTTTCTTCACTATGCCACCAATTTTGGTGTCATCTTTCAACTTACTAACCGTGCCTTCTATATTCTCATCCAAATCATCTTGAAACACTAATTTTCACTGCTTCAATACTGGTGGCTGTACCTGAAACTGTTGAAATCAAAAGCTCAGGATTTCAATCCCAGACCTCTCCAACGTGCGTATCTCCTTTTTTAACTTTCTGATCAAAGTTTTGCTTACCTGTCCTGATATTTCTTTGTGTTTGTTTCAAATTTTGTTTCGTAAAGCCCCTGCAAAGCACCTTGGGATGTTTTACTATATTAAAGGTGCTTTATAAATGCAGTTTGTGAGCTTGGTGATATGGACATGAGTAGAAGAAAAAAGAATGAATTAAGTCCTGCTCTACCGGAGAAATAATGTGTTGGAGTTTTTCTAAGCTGCGAGTTTAAACTTTAGGAATAGAGGGATTCCGAGATGACTTTGATACTATTTATTGCTGCCTCCCATATTGAAACTGTCACTTGGATACCATTCTTTACCTTCATTCTATTTAATTTCTACTTCATTACACTTTCATTCCAAATGTTGCTTAATTAATTATTAGACACCCTCTTCTTAATTAATCCACGAAACAACTAAATAATTTTCCCAACTGTTGCTATTCAGATTTAACATCCTGGCATTGCCTCACTATTGCCGTTGCCCTGCCGAAGTCCTTTTGAAGTGTATCTGAAAGGAAGCTCTACTAAATTACTTCTGTTAGTTTATTTGTATCTGTGGCTGTAAAGCCTGGAAGACCTGTCTGTTCAGCAGCTTCTAATGCCTGTGTGTCACTGCTTGTAGCAATGGACCTGAAAAAACCTCAATATTGAACTGTGCCAGTTTCATCTGCATCGTTGTATCTGCATAATTTTAATCATGAGTATTAAATAAAGAATTGGATATAAAATGTTACACCTACAAATGTGATGTAAAGCAATAACTTGATATTGGATGTCAAAGTTTGTAGATTTTAAAATGAACAAATAAAGTACTACAGTAGCATCCAGACTAGGAGCAGCAGCTGTTGTTTTGTCACAATCGTACGTGATGAGCATAAGGTTTTTCTATTAGATTTGAGACTAAAAAGAGGCTGGGAGAGTGGGAGTCATAAAGATCAACCTCTCCATAAAGTAGTGCCAGTCCAGTTTGTGTGTTTGAGACTGTATTTAGCTGAGTCCATGTAGTTGGAAAATTTTTATTTTGGTGATAAAGCAGTAGTGACATAATTTACAGATTTATAACACAGGTTTCAGAATTTGAATGCTAAAATCAAACCATGAACTACAGATGATGGAGAACTGAAACAAAAATAGAAATTGCTGGCAAAATTGAGTAGAACACTGGAGAGTTAATGGACTTGAAGTATAACTCTGCCTTCTCCCCGCAAATGCTGTCAGACCCGCTGAGTTTAGCTAGCAATTTCTG